GGGGGTAGTCTGACACAGAATCTAGTGGCTGATGATACAGGTTTTGAGATGTTGTCCCTTTTAATGAGTGTGAATAAAACACTGGCACACAGTGCATACTCACTGACCTGTAAGATTGGATTTAAAGGGTTGTTTGTCTCTGCATTAGTGACCCCCAACCTAGACAGGCTTTTCCAGAAACTGGGTGTACTATTAACATCAAAACAATGGAGAGTTGATCAACAGCACAGATAGTACCAGATTCTGGAAGGAATGACTGGAATTACTGCCTGAAATTCAGATTTTTCTGTAAGTAAGTAAATGTCCATTTTTATCTTTTATCTTTTACCGTACTGGTAAACCGTACTGGTAATGACAACTATATAAAGCACTTACTTCAGTTTCTTTCTTTTATTTTGTAATATTTTTTAAGAGATAACTCTTGGGGGAATTTAACAGCTGACAGAGAAAGATGTGTTTGAGCAAATTTCTTCCAACTGGAACAATGTGGTCTTCAATTCAGAAATATTTTATTGTGTCTTAAAACGTTCCTTTAAGTGAATGGCACATTTGTTTTTATATTTTGTTTTCACACCTTGTCACTTTTGCGCAAGATGGTGTTTTTTTTTGGTTTTGTTTTTTTCTGTCCTTTCTGTAATTTGCCATTATCATTTCAACCAAGCATCTGCACCTTCTCTAAATTTGTGTACGAAGACTCAATGTAAGAATATTGTCAAAGATCAGCCACGACTTGCAGTTTCACCAGTCTAATCCCCGAACAGGCTGTTTAAAAACGAGTGATTACAAMAGAGAAGACGACATGCCATTTTTGGCGACAATAGGAGGATATCGGTATGAGTCAGATTATACAGAGGAAGGACTGTTGGTTGGAAAGGTTGGATAACTGCTGATGGACTCAGTTGATTTTTACTAGAACAATCTTGGCAGGAGCAAGTTATTGTAGCGACACAAGCATTGCTCCATAAAGAAACTGGAAACAAAGTAAACTGTCATTTAGATCTGAGGGAGTATAAAAATGCCTAGTATTGTAGTAAATTTGAATTAGACTTGTTTGGGATGGTTAAACTTCACCCATAAATGGTCCCTGCCAATGGCTGTTAACATGACTTCAATCTCCAAACCTAAAATTCAACACAAGTCATTTTTTATATGCGGTAGTAGATATATGATGTTTTACAAGATCATTCAGTCTGAATGTCACAGTTCATCCGATTTTTATGTCATTTTGAGGTAGTGGTATGTAGATCAATCCAAAAATTGATTTTTATTAATGCAGTTAAAGCTTGGAACTTCATACATCTTCAGCTACAGAATAGAGATTTGAGTTAGATTGTATCAATAGTAGTATGATAGGATCAATACTTGAACGTATTTCACTTTTCTTCTTTCAGCGTAATGTTCCCATTCCTAAAGTGCAATTCTGCCACTCCAGAATAGATGGGAAACATCAAAATCAAATCTAAATGTAAACATTAGACAAAATGATTTGATCAGTTCTGATTGTGCAACAACTTTCAAATCGATCCACATATGCTAACGTGTAGCATCCATACTCTGTACGTGTGATGTCAGGTCACATCGTCTTCTGCACATGCGGGTCACCTCAGGGCCGTGGACTGTTCACACCAAAGTCTGACGGCATTTAAGTTATGATGTAAACGATCACACCAAAAATATTGGTGTAGTTTAGCTATTTACAGTAACCCTCTGCCTATGTGTCATTTCTTCCTTTTGCAAAACATAAGAATGGGTTTTTTTTTAAACTCCAAACCTTGGTGAGAAATAAGTCTCTAGTTTGTAAGAGCTGCTTGCCTGGATAAATGAAGTTAGGCTCAAAAGCCTAAGCACAGTGGGTGATTTATTTAGTTTTTTCGTGAGGCTCTGATTGCGACATAACACCCCCCCATGCCCACCCCAGCCATAGAGTGAATGCATTCTTAAGTGATGTCATCAAGTTAAAGTAGTGGGTAAGAGTTAAATGAAAGGCTGAAGAAGTTGCATTCTGCCACAGAACGTTAATCTGCACCTCTGGTTGTGAAAGCATGTCAGAACATCGGTTCCTCCTCATTGAAGGAGTAAAAATAACGGAGTAAAACTGCAAAGATGCCTCGAAAGAGTCAATTAAATGGAAGCAGGAAAGAAGGGAGGGGGGGTGATGTCAGCGAGCTGTTGTGCCAAAAATGTTCCTTAGCAGAGGGTCTCATGTTTCAAGATGGATTTGTAGAAGAACGTCTGGGCTGGAGTGCTTTAGCTGATCTCTCCAGACTGAATCCCTTTGGACTGCATCAAGGAGAAGCTGAAACCAACTTATCATCAGTGATGAATAATTGAGAAGACTTGTCTTTCAAAGACGAGGAGACTTCGCTACTTCAKTTACAAGACCTAATCACAGTCTATACTATTCTAGTCAAGGACTCTCATGATAGATTGAAGTGTTCTGGTTAGAGTACTCTGACTACAGAGGTCCTCTTCATCCTAAATGTAACAGGTTTTGAGACAAAACACGTTTCTAGCCATTTTCCAAATCAGTGCACATCATCTGTTCCTTCCTTTTTAGTAATTTTGACTTTTCTGTTGCTGCAGTTATCAACATTTGCTAGTGTGTCTGTACCAAAAAAGATGAACAYCTCTTTGACTTTCCATTAGAGCATCACCATCTGCTCCTATCGATTCACACGGCCATTTTCTGAATTATTTAGTTGGAATAGTAAAAAGGAGCAGATATGAGGCTTTTGTTGCAGCTAAAAGGTGGTGTGAATAATCCAAGTATCAAAATAAGGACAAACACTAAAACTTGATCCGTCACACACCTTTGAAAAGCCGATCGTGCCTTTTTAAGACCAGCAGCTTCTTTGAGTTACCACAGCTCTGACTGGTGCTGCGTTGAAATGTGTAAATGGTGCTGAAAGTATCTCCTTGTTTTCTTGTAGTACTTGACATTTATACTGACATTAGTAGTGAGTAACCTGCATCAGAACATGGAGAATAAATGTCAACGGTGAGATAAGTTCACTCACTTCACTGTTCACTAATTGCTTCCATATGTAACCTATTCTGTCACAGATTATGGCTAAATAAAATTCATCATAATGTACCTGTCAAAGGCTTTATATGAACTATAAACACTGTAGTTTCCTTTTTTTTGGAACAGTTCCAGTTTACAAGAGGATGCAGTCTTTTAGGAGCTTGAGAGGATCGTTAATGTTTATCTGKTTTTTAATGGTGTGAGCAAAAATGTTCTTGAGTGCTATTTGCAGGTATATATGGGGAAGATGTGGGAAAATGTATGCTTTTGACTCGAGTACACTTGTGTCCTTTGCTGGTAAAATGAGTCACAATAACAAATCTTTTCATTTCTCCATCTCAAATGCTTCAAAATGAGCCATAATTTGTTGAAACTGCCAACAAGCTAGTTTATTTACTGAAGTTGTGGTTTGAAAACTAGATTTTTATTGGTCTGGAGTGATGTCATCAGGAGTTTTAGCTGTATATTTAAAAGAGGGAATGCCCAAGCTTCACAATGTCAACAGTTATGTATTTTTCAGGCACATACTGTAGTTCAATTCCATACCACAGTCAAGTTACTATGTTACCTTCAGTTCTTGTGAAAATGTCTAAAATAAAATTAACTTTGCATCATAGCTTAGCTAAAGGCCTTGAATTTGGCCTCTGTCTTAAGAACTTTGTCCCACTTTAGCACGTCTGCCTATTTTTTCACTTTTTTGCAGTGTGTGCACAATTGATCTCATTTTGTCAGCACAGGTCACATATTTGGAGCCTCCTTTGGTCCTTCTTGTCAGAGACCAGAGTAAATCAACATTTGTTTAACCACCAGTATGTGTGAAGTAAATATTTGAGATCAACCTCAGTTTGATGCAACATCCTTGAAAATGTTAGGGTTGTTGGTTGCTCTTGTCCCTTGACAAAAGTGGTTGCACTCCTACAAACCTTGCTGTTGCTGTGCTTTATGACACTATAAACATCTCAGTAACACATACTGTAAATGGTTGCTGGCTTCAGGAAGTTGCATGCTGTTTTGTCAGCACCACATAAGTGGATTAAGGACATTTTTTACACATTTTTCTTGCTTTGTTGCAAAATGTTTGCCCAAGCTTTTAATCTTCAAAGAAATAAATGACATTTTTTACATTCTGATTATAAAAGTAGAAATATTCTAAATAAAATGCAATAAGACAAACAAGCTACAGTAAATGTCAAGACACTTGCATCCAAGGTAATAAATTAAGAATGGGAACTAATCTGCAGTGTATTGATTTGACATTTATGATTATACCTATGTGAGCAGCTTCTCTGTTTGTTTCATTTTAAATGCAAACTATAAGCCAGCCATCTTCTTGCTCTAGATGCACATTGACATAGTTTTCTACTGTTTTTTTGTTCTTTCAAGAGTTCAGCCTCTAAAGCTGGTTCTGATTAGTGTGCAGTTTTGCAGGCCAAATGTTTCATTGATGTGTCATCCCCACTGACTTCACAGCAAAACTATTAACGGACATATTCTGCAGAGAAATGCAAACACTTCAACTTTTGTCAGCTGATGAATCTTGTGTTTATCATTTAAGTACAAGAACAGAAATCCTGTCTAAGTGGTTGGGATTGACCTGCAACCATTTGCAAATTTTTTTGTATACAAACACCCCACTCTTGTGAGATAAATTGATCTTGTTCATTGACTGACTGCTCATTTTCTTTCAGATAAAGGCACAAAATGGAGGACTCCAGCAGCAGCAGCAAGCCATATGTGGTGACATCGTCTCTGAACTTAAAAGTCACCACGCCATCCTTCTACAACCAGCCGAAGAAGTTCGCTTCTGTGGCGCCACCAAAGCCAAAAAGTCAGACTCCCCCCACTGCTCCCTCACCAACACCACTAGGCACAGCTGTTATTGGTCGAGTTGGAGAGCTGCCTCCACCACCCTCTACACTCTGTGATGGTATTTGCATTTTTAAGCTCTTAGACTTTGTTTCATTTCGTGCACTCATCTTTTCCCTATTACAGCTCCCCGTTGCTTCTTAAGTTGGAGCTTGCAGAGCATCATTGTTCTGCATGGACCAGAATAGAACTGCGTGGTGGTGTTGAGTTTTGTTGTTTTCAAGTCATCACATTGCTGTCATCTTATGACTGAGTCCATGTTGTCATTCATCATGACGGAGACAAATGAGCCTAATCAAAAAGAGCCTGCTGAGATTCGTGTCTGTTTTTAAAGAAGCACATTGGACCTCATGCAAGAACATGTTCGTATTCTTCTCCTAAATTTTTCTTACTTTTGTTCGTATGAAGGGTTCGTACGAACATGTCACGTCAGATTCAACAAACTCTTCTATCTTCAGGAAAAGTGCGTAAATGAGCTGCGTAAATTCCACCATGCGAGAGGAGATTAGCATAATTACCACCCCAAAAACACCATATAAGGCTATGTTTCCTGCCTCAGCTACAAGG